ATTTAATATCTATTGTGTCTTTCGTCTTCTAATCCATTTTTCCTTGGTATATCGTTTATTTCATTTATCATTGTTATGCCATTTATTGTTATTGACATTTCTTTTTTTATTGTATGAAATTGGATTTCTATATCTTGTTTGTTTTTCTTTACAATACACAAATATTTTACACAATAACCATTGAAATAATATTTATTGTATTTCCTGCATTGGAAAAGGATGAATGTTTAATAATTTATATTAAAAAATAAAAAAAAGAAAAAATGAATGACGGTTATCTTAAAAATAAAATAAGTTCAAACTAAAAATAAAAGAAGAACTAATAAATAATCAAAAATAATAAAGAAAGAATGCAATTAGGATATAATGAAATAATGATTGTCTCAAAGTATTTTGAAGATATTAATGATTTTATTAATTTAGAAATGGGAGTTAAAAGATTTAGAGGAAATATGGAACGATTTCATTTTAATCCAATTCCATTGAATCAATATTCAAGAAAATTGTTTCCTAATATTGAAACATTTCATATTTATAATAAAGAAGATGAAATATTTAAAGATGGAAAAATATTTAAATATGTAATATGGTATAAAGTGAGTTATTCAAGATATTTAGAAGAGAAAGAAGAAATGAATGAATATAAAAATATCGAATATACACAAGAAGATAGAAATATATTTGGAAATATAATACCAATAGAAGTACATTCATTTGGAAATGAATGTTTTTGTAAATGTACATCATTAAAATCAATTAATATACCAACAAGTATTAGTAAAATAGGAAATAGTTGTTTTGAAGGATGTTCATCATTAAAATCAATTGAAATACCAACAAGTGTAATTGAAATAGGAAATGAATGTTTTAAAGAATGCTCATTACTAAAATCAATTGAAATACCAACAAGTGTAATTACAATAGGAAATTGGTGTTTTTATAAATGTTCATCATTAACGACAATTAATATACCAACGAGTGTTAGTAAAATAGGATATGGATGTTTTGAAGAATGTGAATCATTAACATCAATTAATATAGAAGATGTAAAATATATAAGTAAAGAAAGAATATTTATGAATGAACCAATGTTAATTAGTATTAAAATACCAGAGAATTTAAAAATGATAAATGGAAAGAATATTGAAAAGAAAGATATTAATGAATTTATTATTCCATCATCAATCACTAAAATAGGAGATGGATGTTTTTATGAATGTACATCATTAACATCAATTAATATACCAACAAGTATTAGTGAAATAGGAGATGGATGTTTTGTATGTTGTCCATCATTAACATCAATTAATATTCCAACAAGTGTTATTGAAATAGGATTTGGATGTTTTTATGAATGTTTATCATTAACATCAATTAATATACCATCATCAATTACATCATTTGGATATGTATGTTTTAAAGAATGTACATCATTAACATCAATTAATATTCCAACAAGTGTAATTGAAATAGGAGATGAATGTTTTTATGAATGTACATCATTAACATCACTTACAATAGAAGATATAAAATATATAAGTGAAGAAAGAATATTTATGAATGAACCAATGTTAATTAGTATTAAAATACCAAAGAATTTAAAAATGATAAATGGAAAGAATATTGAAAAGAAAGATATTAATGAATTTATTATTCCATCATCAATCAATAAAATAGGATATAAATGTTTTTATGAATGTACATCATTAAAATCAATTAATATTCCAACAAATGTTAGTAAAATAGGAAATAGATGTTTTTATGAATGTTCATCATTAACATCAATTACTATTCCAACAAGTGTTATTGAAATAGGATTTGGATGTTTTTATAAATGTTTATCATTAACATCAATTGAAATACCATCAAGTGTTAGTAAAATAGGAAATAAATGTTTTAGTTGGTGTTCATCATTAACATCAATTAATATACCATCAAGTGTAAGTAAATTAGGATATGAATGTTTTTATGAATGTTATTCATTAACATCAATTACTATACCAACAAGTGTTAGTAAAATAGGAAATTGGTGTTTTATTTATTGTTCATCATTACAAACAATTAAAATACCAACAAGTGTTAGTAAAATAGGAAATTATTGTTTTTGTGAATGTTCATCATTAACCTCAATCAATATACCATCATCAATTACATCATTTGGATATGGATGTTTTTATCATTGTGGATGTGAAGAAGAATTAAAGAAGAATAAAAAAATACCAAAATATTGCTTTGAAGAATCTTTTGAAGAATATTAAAGAAGAAAGAAGATAATTGAATTATTAAAGAATAAAAATAAATTTCATTTTATAATTTAAATGATAAGAAATACATCATAAACAAATTAAATGATAACAAAATAAAGAATGAAATATCAAATGAATGAAATGTGATAAAATCATTCATCATTGATTTAATTATTATTATGTTATGTTTATTTCATATTATTTATTTCATATTATTTATTTGTTTCAATATGTTGAATTAATAGAAATATAAAATCAATCATATTTATTGATAAATATTGATTATGAATGATAATATATTTCAAATATCAATCATATTTATCATTTCATGTATTTTGTATTTATTTTTGATTATATTTCAATGTTAATGTTTGTGTGAATTGTTGATATTGAATAACAAAGATCATGAATGTCATAATTCATAATATGATGAATGTGTTGTTCAATGAATATGAATAAATTATATTAAATTATTTCATTTTATATAATTGTATTTCATTTATTTTTGATTGAAATGTATATTCAATGAGAATGATATTTATCATTTTCTATATCTAGTTTATTTTCAACTTATTCATATGATTTGAAGAATAAAATGATTGTGTTGTTATTATGTTTAATGTTTCTTATTATTTTTTACAAATATATACACAACATCAAATTATTCATAATTCATTCTATTTGTTTGTCAAATTAATCTATATTATTATGAATGATATATTTGATAGTGAAGAGTATTTGTAATGATAGAATTTACATTATTAATTACAATGAAATTCTCGTTGTTATTGAATGATTTTTTGATATTATGTGGATCAAGAAATGAAAGAGAATAATTGAAATGGTAAATTACATTACAAAGATGTTGTATTGATTGATTTAATTAATTTTCAAACAAGGTATGATG